GCATGCACCCTATAGCAAAAACCTCTCCAAAAATTAATTAATTAATTAATTAATTAATTAAATAAATAAAATAATTATTTAAAAAAAATTAAAACAAAAACAAAAACAAAAAAGCTGAATCTTGGTTAAAAAAAAAAAGTATGCTGTTTTTGTGGTGCTTTAACTTTCCGTATTTCCATTCCCCTCTCCAAAGCCTAGAAACTCATAGTCGTACAACTCTGGTAGCCAAGAAAAGTAGAGGCCTAGAAGCCACTGGAAGACACAGAGTGGGTTCAAAATCCCCTACAATGTCCTCTCCAAGGGCATTTTCCCTGCTGAATCTTGGTTAAAAAAAAAAAGTATGCTGTTTTTGTGGTGCTTTAACTTTCCGTATTTCCATTCCCCTCTCCAAAGCCTAGAAACTCATAGTCGTACAACTCTGGTAGCCAAGAAAAGTAGAGGCCTAGAAGCCACTGGAAGACACAGAGTGGGTTCAAAATCCCCTACAATGTCCTCTCCAAGGGCATTTTCCCTGAAGAATGGCCAATATTGCTTCTGTCTGAAATTCCTTCAAAGTCCCCATTAATCGAGCTTGTCTTTTTTGACCTACCTCGGAGTCAGCACAAACAATCCGCAGTTAATTGTTCAACATCACAACTGCCCGAGGTGGTAATAACAATTGGGGCAAATAAGAAACAGATCAAAACGTCCACAGGGGACTTTGATTACGACTTGATTACGATGTCCACAGGGGACTTTGATATCTCCGCTATCTTCCTGGCAACGTAGAACGCCACACGCATGTGCAAGGCTGAGCACCGCCCAGGAAATGCTGGAGAAGGCCCTCATCTCTCACCTGTGGCTGTGCAAGCAGGAAGTGAAGACTAAGGCAGAGATGTGAATTGCCAGAGTGTTGAAGACATGCCCCACCACACACACACACACACACACTCAGCAAAGGCTGAGAGACTTACTGGTTCCAGTAAACCTCCCCTGATCACCAGCCCACCACTAAAGCCAACCCGAGCAGAGACTTCAGCGGCCGCACATGACAGAGTGTAGAGTTTACAGAATTCACTCCTGAAACTAAACAAATAGGAGGAAACACAACTAAAAGCCACGAGAAAGATTGCCAGGAAACGCCCAGAAACTGAGCAAGAGGCCTCAAACATCCTTCCCGAGTACCCCAGGAGGGAAATAACCCTGCTGACACGTGGCCTTGTCCTTCCAGCCTCCAGGAGTGGGAGACAATCAATTCCTGTTGTGGAAGGCACCCAGTTTGCGGTGCTGTTATAGCAGCTAATTAGGAAACCAGTACCTGGAGCCAGTCTGGATACAGCTGACCTTGCCCTCTTGACCTTTTCGTTCCACCAAGTCCCAGGTCCCAGGTCCCATGAACACAACAACATGCTAGGCTCTGGGGCTTACCCTCCTGCTCAGAAATAGTTTTTCAATGTTTACTAGAACAAGGGCTTAATGAACTGTTTTGCAAATTGTCTTTGTATGTCAACAACAAGAAAAAAGGACTCTTTAGGCATTGTTGCCTGATTCTGGAGCCATATGGGAAGGCCCAGGGTCTGGATCCTAGGTCGACCTGAACATGCCCCGAGTACACCCAGGGGCTGCCCATTATCCTAGTCAGCTAGAAAGCTAGGGGAGGATTATCATATGGCAAAAGACACTGTCAGGGGCTCCTTTCTCTCTTCCTCTTAAAACAAAACAAAACAGGGACCAGCAGTTAGCATAATGGCTATGTCGCTGGACTCCCATGTAATTGACCACGATTCGAGTCCCGGACCCAGTGGCTTAAACTCACACTGGGTGCGTATGCGTGTGTGCCCAAGATGCCGAGAGGATAATGGAGAAGGGATTGTGGTGTGGCCGTCCCCCCCTGGGGGATGATTTCTTGCTTTCTGTCTCTCTGTCTCTGTCTTTCTGGCAAGTGCATGTGCCCTACAGCAAAAACCTCTCTAAAAAACAGACAAACAAACAAAAACAAACAAACACAAAAACCAGCCAGTATAAATGAAGGTATCAGCCACTCTAGGGAATTTTTTTAAAAAAGGGAATTCTTCAAAGGGGAACATCTACCCATGGGGAATCCAGAAACTCAAATCCAGGCATATCAGGGAAGAAGTGTCTAGAATAAGAAAACAACCCAGAGTCAGTCCCCTAGGGCATTGGTTAAGGAAGCCAATACCACAAGGCCAACACTGAACCCTGGCCCCAGCAGCTTGGAAAACACGCCAGGCACATGTGTGGGTGCCCACAACCCTGAAGGAAGGAGGGACAGAGGAAAAAGGATTGAGGTGTGACCACATGTGGCGCTTTCTCTTGCTGCTGAGCGCACATGCCCTCTAGCAATAGATGAAAGAGAGAAAGGAGGGGTGGGGAGGAGGGAAGGAAGAAAACTGCCCAGGCTGTGGCAATGTGTTAACCAGGCAATGGTTCAGGGAGATCCCACGTTGACGCTGCTCTTTGCTTGGGACCCTCCTCCCCCACTCCGGATGGGTCCTTCTGGGTTGTTTCGGGTCAGTACTTGGAGTACATACGCCTCCCTATCTGCCACCCACCCCACACTGCTCTTTTTTCCTGCTCTGACTTTCCCATGCTAAAGACTTCCTGGGCTGGACTTTCAGACTCCCATGCTGCCCAGGTGGTTCTAAACCATCACCTGTCCTGACCGCACCGTCAGAATACGCCCCACCCCCACCCCCCGCAGGTACTTCAGTGACTCCCTTAGTGACAGACCCCTGGAATGTCCCTCGCCCTGCAGATCTCGCTTTCTTGGGTCTGATCTGCTGCTGGCCACCTGAAGCTGATCGCCACAACCACGTACAGGTCTACTGTTGACAGGCCGCTGGGAAAGGGTCACCGTACACAGGGCTCCGCTGCTGACTGGAGCTCACTGGTGACCCCAGTGGTGGTGATGCCAGGAGCTGTGTGGGGACTTCAAAAAGTTCATGGAAAAAATGGAACTTAAACCATGATGCGATAGTTTTTTGAAATCTACACATGGTTTTTTCACAGTGTACATTTTCCATGAGCTTTGTGGAAGAGCCCTTGTATGCTATGGTGTATACTGCGGACCATACACCTGCCATGACTTCTGTTCTGGCCCAAACACCCAGTGGTTTGGGAGGTATTTATCAAGATCCCTTTGTTAGGGCTTATCAGAAATACAGCAATTTACCATTAGTTCCAGCCCAGGAAGCTGCCAGGAATTGGTTTTAAAGGATTTGGGGTAGACGGGATGGGAAGTGTGACTGGAGTCAATAGAGCAAGGCATTCCTAGAAAAGGGCCCGTATGTCACTGGTCTTCCTTCGTGAGGGTTACTCTTCCTGACCCTCACCTGTCCCCTCTAATGAGTGTCCTCTGCCTGCATGGCAGAGACCAGATGAGCAGAGTGAGCCATCAGTTTGGCCTAGACACGGTTTCATTTCTGTGTTTCTTACTAGAGACCCAAAGCAGAAAACTCAAGAGTTTGAATCTCTGGGGAGTGTTCCCTTCCAAATCCAGTTCACCAGATACCAAATAGTTCAGGGCGTGGATATTGGTTTATCATTCTCCCCCATGTTCCAAGTTACGTTCTGGCCCAAACCGTCCATACCTGTGGCCTCTCCTTCAGAACTCGGATGTTTGATGAATGTCTTCAGATTCTTAGAAAACACTCCTTTCTTGGCCAGCAGAGCACTGTAGGATCCTTTCTCCAAGATGGTGCCATTCCCCACAACCACAATCTCATCCACTTGGGGAAGAAAGTGAATGCTATGTGTAACCAAGAGTCGAGTCTGTGAAAACAACGTTAAGTTGTGCTCATGGCCCTGTAGCCATCGTCTTCTCCGGCTTACTCGGAAAAGGGAAGAACAGACCTATCGGTTCATTCCGGGACTTCGTGATGAAACGGTGGCCTTCATCACCTGGCATAACTGACTTTCTCTCTTTCCTTCCAAGCATGTCACCCTAAAACTACTGTGAGGTAACAGAAGGAGAGGCTGACGGTCCCCGCACCTCCCAGCATTCTCCTTTGTACTGGGCAGTGAGACTCCACCCCTACCTCGCCTATCTCCTTCAAGAATTTTGGGATGCTTCTGGCCAGCAGGTGACAGGGGTGATGAGACCTGGGCCCAGCTGCCTTCAAGACTCCCATCCTTGTGACTCTGTCTCCTGTAGTGACAGTGAGGTTTGTCCTACATATATTCTCCTTCACGTTCCTGGCTAGCCAAAGGTTGGGCTTAGAAATGTCACTGGAAGGACCTGCAGTTAG